GAAAAGAAAACAAAAGAAAAGAAAAACAAACAAAAAAACTGAGAGATACATAACTTTCCTAAGTCAACTTGACTCATAGGTAGCACTGACACAATTGAAACCTGTCCTGATGACTCTGAGTCCACTGCTCTTTCCGTAAACTACCTGTCCAGAACACAAACACTCCCGAATTCTTAGGAAGAGCATTTCATAGCACAAAGTACTTCAATTTTCCCCCTTTTCCCACTCCTTCCTCAAAGCTGGGCTTTCCAGCCTTTCAAACTAACCCTGAGCTTCTCCATCTCTTAGATTTGTGCTCTTTATCATAAAGTATACATACGGTTTCAAATAGCATTTACAATCAATGAGACAGTGGGAGGGCTGGAGGTTCTGGTTTAGACAGAAATGGGGAGATGACCAGGTCTCCTATACAGGGTGTGAAACCTCATGTCCCACCAAAAACAGCAACTATAATCCAATGAAGTGAAAAATTAGAATGGGACTGGGCGCAGGGGCTTATGCCTTTAATCCCAGCACTTTGGGATGCCAAGGCGGGTGGATCGCCTGAGGTCAGGAGTTCGAGACTAACCTGGCCAACATGGCAAAACCCCGTCTCTACTAAAAATACAAAAAATCAGCCGGGCGTGGTGGCGGGCACCTGTAATCCCAGCTTCTTGGGATGCTGAGGCAGGAGAATTGCATGAACACAGGAGGCGGAGGTTGCAGTGAGCAGAGGTCACACCATTGCACTCCAGCCTGGACGACACAGCGAGACTCTGTCAAAAAAAAAAAATTAGAATGGACCTGATGTGGAGCCAATGGACCCTATGGCTCATGTGTGAGTAGGAGACATGCCACCATCTGAAATTTAGTGTGCTTTAAGTCTACTACTGTTTAAAACTATCAAAACAATAATAATGGCTTCCACTTACTGAGCATATACTATCCCCTGGGACCTCTGCTAAGCACTTAGTAGACATCATGTCTTTGAATCTTCTCAACAACCTAGAATATAAATATCAGTATTATCACAAGTTTTAGGATTGAGGAAACTGATACATGAAACTAACCTGACCACAGTCACACAGCTAGGTCAGCAGGAAAGTTTGAACCTGGTTATGAAATTTGTTCCATGGCTTCAACCAAAAACCTACATGTAATCTGAGGAAAGATAAAAAATAAATAAAGTATCTGCTGAAGAGAATGAAAGCGACTTCCCCCAGGCTGCCTCACTTGTACCAGAATAGTTTGTTGTTTGACAACTTCGTGTTGGATAACTTTTAAGAAGGGATATAGGCTTCCAGTTTCTCAATCTTCAATCTTCTTTGTCTTTCTTTCTTTCTTTTTTTTTTTTTTGAGATGGAGTCTCGCTCTGTCGCCCAGACTGGAGTGCAGTGGTACGATCTCGGCTCACTCTAACCTCCAATCTCCTGGGTTGAAGTGATTCTCTTGCCTCAGCCTCCCCAGGTGTGTGCCAACACACCCGGCTTATTTTTGTATTTTTAGTAGAGATGGGGTTTTGCCATGTTGGTCAGCCTGGTCTCGAACCCCTGACCTCAAGTGATCTGCCTGCCTTAGCCTCCCAAAGTGCTGGGATTTCAGGTATGAGCCACCATGCCCGGTCTTGTTTCTCAATCTTCTCAACTCCAAATGCACAGGGCTGCCAGACAAAACACAAGGTATCCAGTTAAATTAGAATTTCAAACAAACAATTTTTTAGGTAAAACAATGTTTTAGGGCCGGGAGCAGTGGTTCACGCCTGTAATCCCAACACTTTGGAAGTCTGAGGCAGGCAGATCGCAAGGTCAGGAGATCAAGACCAGCCTGACCAACATAATGAAACCCTTTCTCTACTAGAAATACAAAAATTAGCTGGGCGTGGCAGCACACGCCTATGCTGGTTGCAGTGAGCTGAGATAGTGCCACACTGCACTCCAGCCTAGGACACAGAGCAAGACTTTGTCTCAACAAAAAAGAAAAAAAAAAAACAAAGAATGTTTTAGTATAAGCATGTCCCATTCAATACATGGGCTGTACTTGTATACTAAAAAGTTACCCATATTTACCTGAAATTCAGATTTAATTGAGTGTCCTGTGTTTTTATTTGCCAAATCTGCCAACATGGGGAGGAGAGGTCAGTGAGGTTCCACGTTGTCCCCGTCTCTTGGTATCAACAGTTTAGGGTCTTAATCTGTCACTAGAAAATTTTCACACATTTCTTATTCAGAGGCTGGTGTTCCTGGCAGCTCATTCCTGACACCTAAAATAGTTGTTTAAGCAGAGCAACAGTTTCAATCCTTGGAGGCTACTATAGCAAAGTACCAAAGTCTGGGTGGCTTATAAACAACAGACATTTATTTCTCACTGCTCTGATGGCTGGAAGTTCACGACCAGGGTGCCAGGGTGGTCTGGTTCCAGTGAAGGCCCCCTTCCATGTTGCAGCTGCCAACTTCTCATTGTATCCTCACATAGGGGAAAGAGGGGAAGAGAGCTCTCTGGGATTTATTTTATATTTTATGTTATGTTATTTATTTTATTTTATTTTAATGAGCCAGGGTCTCACTTTGTTGCCCAGGCTGGAGTGCAGTGGTGCAATCTCAGCTCACCGCAGCCTCCACTGCCTGGGCTCAAGAAATCCTCCTGTCTCAGCCTCCCAAGTAGCTGGGACTACAGGCATGTGCCACCATGCCTGGCTAATTTTTGTATTTTTAGTAGAGAAGGGGTTTTGCCATGTTGCCCAGGCTGGTCTCGAAATCCTGGACTCAAGCAATCCATCCACCTCGGCCTCCTGAAGTGTTGGGATTATAAGTGTGAGCCACTGGGATCTCTTTTATAAGGGCACTAATCCCATTTAGGAGGGCTTCACCTTCATGACCTAATCACCTCCCAAAGGCCCCATGCCTAATCCCATCACACTATGGGTTAGGATTTCAACATCTGGATTTTAAAGGAACAAACATTGAGTCCATTGCAGCAAGTAATCGGGACAGCATAGGAGAGGCTGCACATGGATTTTTTTTCCCCAACCACTGTGCGTTCCTTGAGCGCTAAGTCCTGATGCTATGGAGAGATGCTGGGATCCCAGCCCTGGAGGAATGCATGATGTGGTGGAGGAAGCTGCTATCACACAAAGACAAGCAAAACTGCTGGCCCAGCCAAAACTGCCAGAGGTGGGAGGAATTCGAAGATTCACAGAGATGCCCCTAGATGGCACCCTTGAACAAAAATCCCAATGGAAACCCCAACTCAGCTTTCCAAAGCAACGTCTATTCAGGGAATCATGATTGCAGGGCTTTTTAATCTAAGGAAACACACAGACACCCTACAAAAAACTATATTTTCCTGGGTGGGAAACCCACCATTTTGCAGCTGAACAAAGTGCATGACGCCAGACAAGACTGGCCAAAACTTAAGAATTTAGGGACTCTTGTCTGTCCTATCCCCACTATTAGCTCTTCTTTTCTGCTATTGTGGAAGAATTACAGCAGGATTCTGTGGTTTATCATCATCATCATCAATCATCACCCCAAGCTATTTCTCTATCCATTAGCCTGATTATTTCCAGAAACATTAGGTGGTAGATGTAATAATACCAGCAAATATTTTTGAGCCCCTACTCTGTGCCTCAATAGGTGCTAAGTCCTCGACAGCCACTATTGCACCAGTCCTCACTACAACCCTGTGACTGCTTTTTTTTTTTTTTTTTTTTTTTGAGACAGGGTCTCACTCTGTTGCCCAGGCTGAAGTGCAGTGTCACTGCAAGTTCTACTTCCTGGGTTCAAGTGATTCTTCTGCCTCAGCCTCCCAAGTAGGTGGGATTACAGGTGCGCACCACCATGCCCGGGTAGTTTTTGTATTTTTAGTAGAGATGGGGTTTCACCATGTTGGCCAGGCTGGTCTGGAACTCCCAGCCTCAAGTGATCCACCCACCTCAGCCTCCCAAAGTGCTGGGATTACAGGCGTGAGCCATCGTGCCCTGCAGCTTTTTGTTATCTAAAGACATATTCTCCAGGTTGCTATGACCACAGGTCGGATAACACAGGTTTCCGTCTAGAAAGTGGCTGAGAACTGTGCAACAGCAGACCAAGGGTTGGGCTTATCCCTCTCCCTGAATTATGGTTGAAGCCATGACACAGTAAGTTGCCATCATGCTCTACGGCAGTGGTTCTCAACTCGGGATGATGGGACCTCCCAGGGGACATTTGGCAATATTTTGAGACACAGCTGGAGGTTGGGGGGGCGGGGGCCTTGTAACTGGCATCTAATGGGTAGAGGCCAGGATGTTGCTAAACATTCTACAATCCACAGCTCAGAAACAGAATTATCCCGCCCCAAATGTCAATCGCATAATATTCAGAAACCTTACTCTATGGGGCAGAATTGGGGTCAGGGGAAACACGGGTTCCTGCTCCGACTTGGATCCCTGCAAACTGAGGAATTGGGGTTGATTTACCTTGTCTCTCTCAGCCTGGACTTTTTCATGTGTAAAATGGAGATCTAATCCATCTGAAAGGATCTCACTGGCTTATGACATTTGCATTTGAGAAGTCATGGTTAAAAACTTCCAGTCAGGGAAGATACTTCATCTCATGTGTCTTGGTTAAAAACTTCCAGTCAGGGTGATACTTCTTCTCGTGTGTCTTGAGCTCCAGAGACTTCCAGAGCAGCTGGTTTTAGGGATACCGGAGGGGAAACCCTGAGACCGCTGGAAAACTCGTTCTCGGCTGCCAGTCGGCCTGTCTTGAAAGTGGTCTGAACTTTCTCACTCCAAGCCAGTCGTGTGGGAAGGGACACTCTCTGAGCCTCAGTTTCCTCATCTGTCAACCTCTCCGGGCGTGTCTCCAGTGGCTCCGAAAGCCAGTGGGAGCGAGCGCGCCGGCAAAGGCCTGGGCGCGAGACCTTGGCGCGCTTTTGCCGGATCCTTCCGGCCACGGGCGGGGCGAGCCCAGCGGAGCAGAGCCGAGGGGCGGTGCCCGGGCCAAGGGGCGGAGGCAGGCGGCTCTGGCTTCACTCCCGGGACGCTCTTTCCTTCCTCCTCTTGCTCCTCCTCCTGCCTCTCTTCGCTCCGCCTGCAAACGCGGTGGGGGCTGCTCGGCCGCCAAGAGCAGGTGAGAGCTCGGAGCTTGGGGGTGGTGGTCCGGGTGCCCCGGGTGGCTAGACCCCCCTCGCCGGGCGGGGACAATGGAGGAGCGCGGAGGCGACGGCGTGAGCGCGCAATCGGGGTCCCACGCCCCGTAGCTTTCTGCCCCGGGGTTAGTATAAGGGGCGTCTCCTGCCTGTGAGTCACCGGGACGGGGCTGGGAGCGCACGAGGAGACACGATTCCTCCCCACCCCTCAAAGCACACTCACCCCGCCACCCCCCAACACACACACACTACTAGATTAGGTAAAATGGTAGCTAGCACCACCACACACCGAGACTGTGCCCCTTTCTGGGGAACCTGGGGAAGACGTCAAGGCAAACCTCCCAAGGATTATTGAAAACGGGTGCCCTCCTCGCCATCCAGCCCCTCTTCTCCACCGAGGTCCCCTTCCCCGTCACTGCAGAGAGATATGCAAGTATCAAAGGGGGCTTCTCTTTGTAATAACAAAGTACTCGACGCCCCTCTGAGTTCCCATTATTCAGCCTCTGTGGGACGCGGAACCCCTCTCCACCTGCACTTCACTCCTTTCCTCCTCTCCTTGGGTCTCCCTGACTTTTGAAGGCTGAAAGGCTGGGCCCAGATGGGGAGGGGCGGCCAGCGTAAGCTCGAGGCGCCCTGCAGCTCCCATCCCCCAACCAGAGATATGACCCCTCCTCCCAGCTGGAACTTTCGAGGTAGCCGTTTGCTCCTGGAGATTCGGAGGTGGGAGAGCCAGGAGATTTATTTGGAGCCTTGGAAGGGGAGAGGGTTGGCTGGTGTTGGCCTGGCCCAGTCCCCCAGGCGTGAAGAAGGCGGGGCACTCCTTGGCCGCATCGGGTCCACGCTTTCCCTTCTCGGGAGACACCTCTGTGGCTGGGGAGGCCCCTCCGAGGAGTGAGTGACCGGGGGGTCTGGGAATTGGTGGCCAGGTAGACGCATTTGAAGGCTGTGGCCGATGGCATTCTCCCCACGCACTCTCCCATCGGACTCCCCAAACCGGTCTGGGTGGCACTCGAGGCTCCCAGGCCAGAGGAGACCTGTAGGGAGAACTGGGCTTGTTTCAGCTTGCTGCAGAGATGAGATTACGGGAACTGAGTGCTGGGAACATCCCGAGTTCAAGATCTATGCCAGAGGCAGCTTCAGAGAGAGAATGTGGGGTGGTGGGATTAGTCCCCTCCTCAACTTCCACCTCCAAAGGGTTTCTTGTTTTACACAAGGAAAGTAGCAGAGAATGTCTAGCTGGGATGATTAAAATGCACTTTAATTTGCATAGGAGACCCTATACAGCTTAGTAGTAGATAAAATTACCCCCTGTAACTAATGCAATTAGCACGTGGGATATTCAATATGATAAATAACTGTGATGATCTCTCAGTTAATTTTGGCCACGCGGACAGAATCTTTTAAGCATTTGTACTGTAGGTCAGGAGGTCAGTTTAAAAGGAAAAATGGAAAACATATCTCTGTGTCCAGCCAGTTCTGGGAAATATAAAATAAGAATGATTGTTTTTTATATTTGAAAACTCAGCAAGGGTTAAAAAATATATCTAATTTAACCAATTGCCTTTATTAAAAATAAGTAAAAATTGTGTGAGATTGGGACGCCCCTCAAAATTCCAAGCAGTTTAGTTAGAGTATAATTATTGTGGTGAGGTCTGCCCCCGAGGCACAGCTCTCCTTACTGGGGATAGACTTACCTGCAAGTAAATAGATGATGATGTATGGAATGATGGAATTGGGAGCCAACCTGCACAGTAATAAAGAAGAGAAATAGGCCAAGGCTGCTGTTGTACAAGGAAAGCTTTCGAGGGAAAATAAAAGGAAATGAGATTTGAAATAGTGTATTCAGCTTTCTTGCTTTCTGTGTATTTTCAGCATTTTGTCAAGCTAAAAAATAAACATAAGCTGTCAGAGATAATACTGTTAACATTTTATCGGCCGGGCGCGGTGGCTCAAGCCTGTAATCCCAGCACTTTGGGAGGCCGAGACGGGCGGATCACGAGGTCAGGAGATCGAGACCATCCTGGCTAACCCGGTGAAACCCCGTCTCTACTAAAAAATACAAAAAATAAGCCGAGCGAGGTGGCGGGCGCCTGTAGTCCCAGCTACTCGGGAGGCTGAGGCAGGAGAATGGCGTAAACCCGGGAGGCGGAGCTTGCAGTGAGCTGAGATCCGGCCACTGCACTCCAGCCTGGGCGACAGAGCGAGACTCCGTCTCAAAAAAAAAAAAAAAAATTTTATCTTTTTTTAAGTCTCATAAACATCTTTTCACATCACGAAACAGTCACGCTGTCATTTTAATGACTGAATTTATAATTATTTAGCCCATTTTCTCCTAATGGAAATACAGTTAGCTCCTTTCCAATGTTTTGCTGGTCATTATATGTTATAAACAGGGAGGAAATGCATGGCCTTTTAGTACATTTTGAGATACCTGTTGGATTATTTCCATCATGTTCCTGGAAGATAAATTCCTGGCTTGAAGTGTGTGCAATCTGAAATTGTTGTGAATATTGCCAGGTTACCCTCCATCTACATGCCTGCCATCAAGTTATGAGGATGGTAGAAGCGCTCGTCGAACCAGTTGGATGAAGACCACTAACGGCTTTTGTTTCCTCTGGTAACAGCAAGAGACAGGATGACATGAGAGATTGGACCGTGGGCTGCACTGGAGAATTTACCGGTAGGAGAATTCATCCCCAAAGAGATTGAAGTGAGCTTCAGAATGGCCAAAGAGGAGCTCCGGAGTATCTCAAGGAACTTGCAAGAACTGCAGAAGAAGCTGTCTCTGCTGATGGACTCCTTCCAGAATAATTCAAAGGTCAGTTTCCAATCACTGTGTATAATGGAAAATCCCAATATAACACTAGCGTAAACAAGATAGAACGTTATTTCTTTCTCCAGTAGAAGAAATTTGGAGGTAAGTCAAGAATCTTTCTGGCTTACCACCCTGCCATGTCTATGCTGTGACCTTCAAACTCCTTGTCTGCGATGACTGCAAGAGCATCAGCCATTGTATCCATGTTCCAGGCAACAGGATTTGAGGAGAGGGGGAAAAGAGATGTACAAGCCACCTCCAATTTAAGGAGACTTCCTGGGAGTCACACACAACACTTCTAATTACATCTCTTAAGCCAAAATTGAGTCATTTGCCACTAATGGCAAATGCAGTTCTTTAGCTGGATAAAGAAGTCTGTGCCACAGATACTATCCTTTTTTGTTTTCGTTTGTTTGGTTTTGTTGTGATTTTTTGCCCTATCTGTTACCCTGAAAATGAGAGACAAAAGCCTGCTTCAAGATTTGAGTTCGGTGTTCCACTAGGAATCCAGGTCCAAAAGAAATATGACGTAAGCCACGTATGTAATTTAAAATTTTTCTAGTAGCCACATTTAAGAAGTAAAAAGAAATAGGTAAAATTAATTTTGGCTGGGCACGATGGCTCCTGCCTGTGATCCTCACACTTTGGGAGGCTGAGGTGGGCAGATTACTTGAGATCAGAAGTTCGAGACTAGCCTGGCCAACATGGTAAAACCCAGTCTCTATTAAAAATACAAAAATCAGCAGGAGTGATGGTGAGCGCCTGTAGTCCCAGCTACTCAGGAGGCTGAGGCAGGAGAATCACTTGAACCCGGGAGGCGGAGGTTGCAGTGAGCCAAGATTGTGCCACTGTACTCCAGCCTGGGTGACAGAGTGAGACTCCGTCTCCAAAAAAAAAAAAAAAAAAATTATTTTTAATAATGTTTTTATTTAACCTATCAAAAATATTTCAACATGTAATCATTTATACAAAATTATTAATGAAAAAAGGTTCTTGAGACATTGTACCTTCTTTTTCGTACTCCCTCTTTGAAACCCTGTGTGTATTTTACACTGCTAGTACATTTCAATTCAAGTTAGCCACTTTTTAGGTATTCGGTAGCCACTCAGTGGCAATGGGACTTCAGATAGTTTTCTTGCATATTTATCCTTATTGCTTTCTTCTATATGCCTTTCAGCATTTTGTCAGGGAAAAGAGCTTTCAGAGATAATACTGTTAACATTTTGTATGTCATTCTAGACCTTTTTTCTACGTAATATACCTATAAAAATACATATGTATATGTAACAAAATGAACCGTTTTGTGATGTATTTTTGTTGTTTGTATTGGATAGCGCAGCGGAGCTACTTGAAGAGATGCTTCTTTGCAGTCTACAACAATAAATTCTGGACTTGCTCCAGAATTTTTCTGGCACTCTTTGTGGATTTACCAAGCTATTTTTAAATTGGACAAGCAGCTTTCTCGCCAGCTGGCGGGGACTCTTGTTATTAAAAGTTAGCTCAGTAAGAAGGGTCCTCCTGCCGTTCCACATTTACAGCTGATTCTCATTAACCATGGTCGTTAACGTTCTATAAAGTTACTGCAGACATCGAATTAGCACATACCAAACCATTGCTCCTAGGGGAAATCCAGGATTCAGTTGCTGTGGGCCTCTGCCACAACATTTTTGTCAACTGATCAGTACATAACCTCGTTTTCTGTGTATTTCTGTTTAAAGACATGTTAGTATATATCGTTGACCATTAACATTGAACTCGGGGCCAACAATGGTACTGTGACTCATGTCTTAAACCAAGCTAATCACACAACGTATATTTTCTCCATAAGGCACATCACAGCCTTCTCATGCTTAGAAACGCTAGAGAACACTTCAGCACTACACTTGGGGACCATTTTCAACGATAAAATCACCAACTTAAAGCATAAACGTGGCACTAAATAGACCACAATGACACTCGTTTAAAAGATGAAACAGGCAGGCTCAGTGTCAACTTGCTTGACCTCAGCTGGAAATGTGCATGGTAGGTGACTCCGTCTTTTGCTATTGTGGACATGTCCACTAATGACCCCAAAAGCACTGTGGGCCAGATGCGGTTGTTCATGCCTGTAATCCCAGCACTTTGGGACACCGAGGCAGGTGGATCCCTTGAGCCAGAAGTTCAAGACGAGCCTGGCCAACATGATGAAACCCCTTCTCTACTAAAAATAAAAAAATTAGCTGGGTATGGTGGCATGTGCCTGTAATCCTAGCCTCTTGGGAGGCTGAGGCACAAGAATCGCTTGAATCCAGAGGGTGAAGGTTGAAGGGAGCCAAGATCACACCACTGTACTCCAGCAGGGTGACAGCAAGATTCTGTCTCAATCAAAACAAAACAGGCCGGGTGCGGTGGCTCACGCCTGTAATCCCAGCACTTTGGGAGGCCAAGGTGGGTGGATCACAAGGTCAGGAGATCAAGACCATCCTGGCTAACATGGTGAAACCCCGTCTCTACTAAAAATATAAAAAATTAACCCGGCATGATGGCGGATGCTTGTAGTCCCAGCTACTTGGGAGGCTGAGGCAGGAGAAGGGCGTGAACCTGGGAGGCGGAGCTTGCAGTGAGCCAAGATCGCGCCACTGCACTCCAGCCTGGGTGACAGAGCGAGACTCCGTCTCAAAAAACAAACAAAACAAAACAAAAAACACTGCCAGTATTCATTTTGAGGTTACAAATAAATTTTAGTGAGGAGGCAAATTTACAAATGTGGAATTGGGAGTAACAAGGATTGACTACATATTTCTTGGCACTGACTGTATGCCAAGCGCTGCACTAAGCATTCGCCCTGGCCCTGCCTGAACTTAGTTAATAGTCATGTTCACCTGTTTTTTTTTTTTTTTCTTGTATTTTTAGTAGAGACGGGGTTTCTCACCATGTTGGCCAGGCTGGTCTCCAATTCCTGACCTCAGGAAATCCACCCACTTCGGCCTCCCAAAGTGCTGGGATTATAGGCGTGAGCCACTGCGCCTGGCCACCAGTGGTTTTAGATGGTCCTGACCCTTCGCCCTCCTCCTGGTAGGAAGAGATAATGAATCGTTGATTGTTTTTTGCATTCTCCTACCAGGGAATTTGCATGGCTCCTGAATCATCCCAGGTGAAGCCTTCATGTTCTCAAACACTGGCCACATTGTCCCTACTTTAGAAGCCCACTGCCTTTGTCTGAAGCAAGTCACTTAGGCTCACTGAATTTCCATCTCCTTTTTAAAAATTATTTATTTTTTATTGAGACAGAGTCTTGCTCTGTTTTCCATGCTGGAGTACAGTGGTGCGATCATGGCTTACTGTAGCCTCGAACTCCTGATCTCAAGCAACCCTCCAGCCTCAGTCTCCTGAGGAGCTGGGACTACAGGTACACACCAGCATACTCAGCTAATGTTTTATTTTATTTTTTGGAGAGACAAGGTCTCTCACTGGTCCTTGAGGCTGGTCTCAAACTCTTGGCCTCAAGCAGTCCTCCTGCCTTGGCCTCCTGAAATGCTGGGATTGCAGAAGTGAGCCACCACGCCCAGCTACCATCTCCTCTTTTCTAAAATGAGCACTGCCAGGCTCAGAGGTTTATTATGAAGATTATCTGAGATGCTGTTTGAGGCTTTAGCACAGAGCTTGGCACGTAATTTTGTCAGTCTGTCTTGGCCTGGCCTTCCTGGGCTCTGCAGTGCTGCACTGTGCTTGTAGAGTCTAGATTGGATAACCTGTGTCTACCTCCAGGCTGGTGATGGAAAATCACAGTGCGTGTTACTGAATAATAACCTCTCCCACTTTTCATCTTTCCATCGCATCCCCCTCTGTTGCCATGAGAATGAAATGTTAATTGCTACGTTCTAGCCCCCTGAGTTTAAATAGTGTTAGGTCGTTCTTTTTTACCTACCTCGTAGCATTGTAGGAAGAAATAAATGAGGAAATAACACGGGAGGCACTTAAAGCAGCGCCTGGCACCTGAGTGTTTAATGAATGTTCTCTGTTATTATTAGGTGTGGTTGAACCGTGTCCTCCCCTCCTGGGACAGACTGGCTGGAGCTCAGCTGTACTTCTTGGGAAAAGACAATTGCTGGGTTTAATTGTCTGAATCTTGGTCTCTTTGCATATCCGAATGACTTTCTCTTTGATTATAGAGCCCAGGCTCAGAAAAGACTAAGAATGGCGGGGCGTGGTGGCTGATGCCTGTAATCCTAGCACTTCGGGAGGCCGAGATGGGCAGATCACTTGAGGTCAGGAGTTCGAGACCAGCCTGGCCAACATGGTGAAACCCCGTCTCTACTAAAAAATGCAAATATTAGCCAGAAATCGCCTGAACCTGGAAGTTCCCAAAGTGGAAGTTGCAGTGAGCCGAGATCGTGCCATTGCACCCAGCCTGGACAACAGAGCGAAACTCCATCTCAAAAAAAAAAAGGCTAAGAAAAAGGTGGATTCCTTAAGGACTGAAGTAGAACAGTCTTGCCTGTTTCCTTTTATATCCCTGTGCCAAACTGTCCCTAAGTCCTGTGTATTCCTTCTTTTGTCATTCCACTTTCAAACCCATCTCCTCCTCCCTCTCCGCTTCCCTCTGTGCCATCAGCCTGGACTTGACTATCAGTATATTTTACCTGATTTCCTGCAAATCTTTCTCCCTGCCTCTTGCACATGATTGCTAGGTTCATATTTCTTAAATCATTCCTTTAATCATGTCATAGTTGTGCTCAAATGACAGCAGTTTGTTCCCTGTTTTTTTTTCCCTAGATGAAATTTAAATGAGTGCTGTCTAGCAGAAATATTATGTAAGCCACATATATAATTTTAAGTTTTTTAATAGTTACATTAAAAAACATAAAAAGAAACAAATGAGATTAATTTATCTATCTATCTATCTTGAAATGGAGTCTCGCTCTGTCGCCCAGGCTGGAGTACAGTGGCGCAATCTCGGCTCACTGCAACCTCCAACTCCCGGGTTCAAGTGATTCTCCCGCCTCAGCCTCCCGAGTAGCTGGGATTACAGGCATGCATCACTCTGCCTAATTTTTTTTGTATTTTTACTGGAAACGGGGTTTCACCATGTTGACCAGGCTGGTCGTGAACTCCTGATCTCAAGTAATCTGCCCACCTCAGCCTCCCAAAGTGCTGGGATTACAGGTGTGAGCCACCGTTCCCGGCCAGAGATTAATTTTAATAATATATTCTTAATTTAACACCATATATCCAAAACACTATAATTTCAACAGGTAATATAAAAAGGTATTAATGAGATATTTTGCATTGTTTTTTTCATACACTTAGAGCACATCTCAATTCCAATGCCAAATTTTCACTGGAAGTATTTAATCTCTATTCAGATTTTATAAAACTTACAATTCAGTGAAATAGATTCGCATACCCAACCTATTTGAAACAGACTTAAAATTTTTCCAACAACTGAATCAAGTCTCAGCTTTAAAATTTTAATTAAATTAAATTGGAAATCCAGGCCATCAGTCACAGGAGGAGCATTCCAAGTGCTGAATGGCACAGGTGGCCTGTGATGGACAGCCCAGGGGTAAGCCAGCAAGTCTGGTGTCCTGGTGTCCCAGCCTCACAAGCTCCTTCCACTGCACAGCCCTTCCCTTGCCAGTGCAGCACACTCACTGGTGTACTGCTGCCTCCCTTTCCTGAAGAGCCCATCTGCTCCTCCCCACAGTGGTTCTTTTTATTGTAAGAGTCAGGTGACACAGGGAGCATGAAATAAGGATGCATATGGATTAGAACTGGAAAGAAGTCAGGACCTGAGACAGCGCAAGGGACCAGCCCACATTCTGTGTGGTGACTCCCACGGCCCCTCCACCTGTCTCTCACTTTCAGCTGCCCCAACACAGCAGGATCTCACTAGACTCTGATGATGGAGTGGCCAGGCTGGGCAGTGCCAGCTCCGAGGTGATTCCTGCTATAGTCATCTCTGGCTAGAGAAGTGGAATAGCACGCTCTTTGGGGGCTTTTGTCAGAATGGTGGGGTAGCAGGAGGCAGTGAGGTCAGTGGGCATTTTGCCGTCCTGTGGCCTGGCAGGAAGTGAAATTGGCCATGCCTCGAGAGTAATTCTTAGGAGACCATGCTAAAGCCCAAGACCTACGGCTATGGCTTCTTGGCATGGCCTCTTCTATTTAAGCAGGATGTGGCTTGTACTTTAGCTCTTTCAGCATGAACCACAAACCCTTCCTGCCTTCCAACTCGCCCTGAAAATCCCACTGTTTAAATCACTTGGGTAAACTCTTCTTCCTAGGCGGCACATGTGTCTTGGGGACCTGAATTATGTCTTCTTTTCATCTGCTGGCCTGCAAGGCCCTAGGGATGAGGCTCAGGAAGGACCAGTTATGATGGAAGGAGGTTCTGTACCTTTCACATGAACAGGATCTAGAATGCCAGTACTGAGGAGAAAGAAGGCATGGAGCCCAAGGAGGAGAAGGGGAAACCCATCTTTGTGGATTTGCCTATGGCCAGCTCTGTGTTAAAGCAGTCTCCCTCCATTTAGTTAGATCCAAAATTCCTTTTGCCTGGTGAAGGAAAATAAACTATTTATTAACACAGCATAAACTTGCATTAGTCACATTCTGTGGCCAACTATGGTAACCAGGTTGATGACATAAAAGTATTTAGTATTTTTACTTGATGTGGCAGCTATTGCAAGCATTGGCCATTTTGAGTCCAGAACCTTAGCCTTTTGGTTTTTTTCTTTCTTTTTTTTTTCTTTTTGAAAAGGAGACTTGTAGCCAGGCGCAGTGGCTCACGCCTATAATCCCAGCACTTTGGGAGACCGAGGTAGGCAGATCACCTGAGGTCAGGAGTTCAAGAACAACCTGGCCAATACAGTGAAACCCTGTCTTTACTAAAAATACAAAAATTAGCTGGGCATGGTGGGGGTGCCCGTAATCCCAGCTACTCAGAAGGCTGAGGTGGGAGAATGTCTTGAACCCGGGATGCGGAGGTTGCAGTGAGCCAAGATCATGCCATTGCACTCCAGCCTGGGCGACAAGAGTGAAACTCCATCTCAAACAAAAAAAAGAAAAAGAGACTTGCTCTGTCACCTAGGCTGGAGTGCAATGGCACCATCTTGGCTCACTGCAACCTCCACCTCCCAGGCTCAAGCGATTCTCATGCCTCAGCCTCCCTAGTAGCTGGGACTATAGGCACAGGCTACTACGCCTGGCTGATTTTTGTGTTTTTAAAAGAGACTGGGTTTCACCATGTTAGCCAGGCTGTTCTTGAACTCCTGACCTCAGGTGATCCGCCTGCCTCTGCCTTGTGTGGAATTACAGGTGTGAGCCACCACGCCCGGCCAGGCCTTAGCTTTTAATGCTGAGATTTTGCCACTTGGAGGCTGTAGGACTCTAGACAAGTGATTAGCTTTTAACGCTTAATAATAGACAAGTGATTAGCTTTTAATGCTGAGCTTGGCTTTTAATAGACAAGTATAGACAAGGGATTAGCTTTTAATGCTTAATAATAGACAAGTGATTAGCTTTTAATGCTGAGCTTGGCTTTTAATAGACAAGTATAGACAAGTGATTAGCTTTTAATGCTTAATAATAGACAAGTGATTAGCTTTTAATGCTTAATAATGCTTTTAATAATTATAATATAAATATAATACATATAATTTTATACAAATTATATATAATATATAATATAATATTTATATTATCATATTTAGAATGTAATATATAATTAATGCCATATTAATATTGATAACTAATACTAATATGTATAACTAATATAGTAATTATATAATAATAATTATAATAGAATAATGCTTTTAATAGTAATACTTTTAATGCTTAATAATAAGCCAGTGATTCGCTTTTAATGCTAATCACTTTAATAATGCTTTTAATAATGATAATGCTTTTAATGTTTAATAATAGACAAGTGATTAGCTTTTAATGGTGAGCTTTTGTCACTTGGAGGCTGTGCGACTCTAGACAAGTGATTTAGTTCATTGCTTCTCAAACTTTAATGTGTATGCACAACACCTGCAGAATCTTGTTTAAAAGGCAGAGTCTGATTCATCAGGGCTTGAGATTCTGCATTTCCTTTTTTTTCTTTTTTTTTGGAGACAAGATCTCCCTCTGTTGCCGAGGCTGGAATGCAGTGGTGCAATCCATAGTTCACTGCAGCCTCAAGGGGCTCTAGTGATCCTCCCGCCTCAGCCTCCCAAGTAGCTAGGACTGTGGGTGTGTGCCGCTCTGCCAAGCTAGTTTTTAAATTTTTTGTAGAGATGGAATGTTGCTCTGTTGCCCAGGCTGGTCTCAAACTCCTGGCTTCAAGCGATCTTCCCGCCTTGACTTCTCAAAATGCTGGGATTACAGGTGTGAGGCGCCACACCCAGCCAGATTCTGTATTTCTAACAAGCTCCTAGGTGATCCAAGTAGCTAAGCCTGTTTGTGTCTGAGTGGCTTCAACTATGAGAACCTCAGCTGTAAAGTTGGAGGCAGATGGTATGTACCTTACATCAATGCACCCGTATGCCGAAGAGGTCTTCCGAAGAGTGTGTGTTTGGCAGGAGAGCCATGACTGGGTCTTTCCTCCTTTCACAGGACTTGACCTTGGGTGGGGACCTCAGACTTGCCGCCTGCCCACAGCTACCTAAGATCGCCACCTGGGTGACTCATGTCTTGGGAGAAGTCTTGTTGTAGTGACTTTTTTTTTCTTTTTTTGAGACCGAGTTTTGCTCTTGTTGCCCAGGCTGTGCAATGGAGTGCAATGGCGTGACCTTGGCTCACCATAACCTCCGCCTCCTGGGTTTAAGCAATTCTCCTGCCTCAGTCTCCCGAGTAGCTAGGATTACAGGCATACACCACCATGCCTGACTAATTTTGTATTTTTAGTAGAGACAGGCTTTCACAATGTTGGTCAGGCTGGTCTCGAACTCCCGACCTCAGGTGATCCGCTCTCTTTGGCCTCCCAAAGTGTTGGGATTACAGGCGTGAGCCACTGCACCCGGCCTGTAGTGACTTCTTAATACATGAGCCTTCTGGCTTTACGACCTCTGGTTGTAATTCTCACAGCGTGGGCAGATCCATTCAACCTGGGGTTCCGATGTGGTGCTTAACCCTGGCTCTTCGTCCTTTGCCCACAGGTGGTGGCCTTTATGAAGTCTCCAGTGGGTCAGTACTTGGACAGGCATCCATTTCTCGCCTTCACCTTGCTCGTGTTCATTGTCATGTCAGCTGTTCCTGTTGGATTCTTCCTGCTCATCGTGATGCTTACGTCCCTGGCTGCTCTGCTGGGGGTCATCATACTGGAAGGTAGCCTGTTCTGTCATTCACCCCCTTGGAAAATAACTCAACTGGGAGAACAATACTTTTGGGGCATCTGCCATTTTTAATTTTTTTTGAAGAGGTGGGGTTTTGTTATGTTGCCCAGGCTGGTCTCAAACTCCTGGGCTCAAGTGATCCTCCCACCTCGGCCTGACAAAGTGCTGGGATTATGGGCATGAGCTACCACACCTGTCTGTCTGCCATTCTTGTCAAAATCACATCAAGCAAGGCAACTTATCAGGGTAGGTAAAACAGGGACTCTGGAGTCTGCATTCAAATTCCACCTCTACCACTGTGATTTGGGGCAAGTGGTTTACCTTTCTGGGCCTCAAATTCTTCATATGTAAAATAGAGATGTAATAATACAATCTCAAAAAGTTGTTGTGAAGATTGAAACGTATGGCTCCATAAAGTCCTTAGCACAATACACAATACATGGCACAGAGTAGCTTCTCAATGAATGCTAGCTATTATTGTTAAGCAGGGAGACTTTTCATTCCACAGTAAGTTACTGGGTACCTACTGCATGCCAGATGCCTCGCTAGGTAGTGGAGACCACCTTCACCCTTTTTCCTGAAGTTCCACTACCAACAGTCAACTTCTCCCTGTATTCCTAAGTTCAAATTACTGGGAAAGCAAATCTGATTGGCTCACTTTGCCTTTTCAAATCAGATCACACACCACAGGCAAGTGGCCAAAGAGATGGTGGCCAGTGGGTCAGGTGATCACTTCTGGTCCATTCCATGGCTTCCCAGAGCTAAGAGCACCCAGGGCTGTTTATTTGCCCCAGGGACAAAGCAGTTTACACTTGAAGGAAAAAGTAGGCATGGTCAGTGGATGAGTCTGGCAGAGTGGTTTTTGAGTAAATGTTGAAGGATAGATGGGTGAATGCATGAATGAATGGGTGGAGGAATGAATGAGTACCATAAGAATGGAAATTTACAGAGAAAGGAGAGAGCCATTACATTTTGATGGTACATGCAAAGCTTTACAGCAGACAAGACTTTAAAGATATATAACAACTTTGCCTCAGGGTGGACAAGGAAGGGCCTTTTGGACAGGAGAACAGCATGTGCAAAGCCTCTAGAATAGTGGTTCTTGAAGCTGAGTGTATTTAAATATTTTTGTTTTTCTAGATGGAGTCTCGCTCTGTCGCCCAGCCTGGAATGCAGTGGTATGATCTCAGCTCACTGCAACCTCTGCCTCCCCGGTTCAAGCAATTCTCCTGCCTCAGCCTCCCAAGTAGCTGGGATTACAGGCATGCCCCACCATGCCCGACTAATTTTTATAGTTTTAGTAGAGACGAGGTTTCGCCATGTTGGCCAGGATGGTCTTGAACTCCTAACCTCAAGTGATCTGCCCACGTCGGCCTCCCAGAGTGCTGGGATTACAGGTGTGAGCCACTGTACCCAGCTCTGAGTGTGTATAAATCTTACTTCCTTTATCAAAATACCAACTTTGGATCGCTTGAGACCAGGAGTTCAAGACCATCCTGGGCAACATAGCAAGATTCCCCTCTATCTCTTTAAAAAAAAAAAAAAGGAGGCCAGGCACGGTGGCTCACGCCTGTAATCCCAACACTTTGGGAGGCTGAGGAGGGCAGATCACCTGAGGTCAGAAGTTCGTGACCAGCCTGGCCAACGTGGTGAAACCCCGTGTCTACTAAAAATACAAAAAATTAGCTGGGCATGGTGGTGGGCACCTGTAATCCCAGCTACTCGGGAGGCTGAGACAGTAGAATCACTTGAGCCTGGGAGGTGGAGGTTGCAGTGAGCCGAGATTGCACCATTGCATTCCAGCCTGGGTGACAAGAGTGAGACCCTGTCTCAAGAAGGAAAGAAGGAAGGAAGGAGGGAGGGAGGGAGGGAGGGAAGGAAGGAAGGAAGGAAAGAAAGGGAAGCAGGGAAGGAAGGAAGGAAGAAAGAAAGAAAAGAAGAAAGGAAAGAAAGAAAGAAGTGGTGTGTGTCTGCAGTCCCAGCTACTCAGGAGGCTGAGGTGAGAGGATCGCTTGAGCCCAGGCAGCTGAGGCTGTAGTGAGCTATGATCATACCACTGCACTCCAGCCTGGGCAACAGAGCAAGACTCTGTGTCTTAAAAAAAAGAAAAAAGAGAAAGAAAATGCAGACTTCCAGGCCTCATCCAGAGAGTGCTATTTTAGTTGGTCTGGAGTGGGGTTTAGAAATCTGAATTTTTTACAAGCTTCCTTGATGCACCTGATTCTGATGCAGGTGGTTGGCGCCACACTTTGAAAAACACTGATCTAAAACTTTCAAATCTTTATGAAAAGGCAGCACATCTGTTGATGTTCCCTTCCTTCCAGCCTTTTCAGGGTCCCTCCCTGAAACCATCATTGTGGCTGTGGAAGGAGTACTGGGCTAACTGGCCACTCGCAAAGCAAAGGGAAGGATGTCAGCCGTATGATACTTGCCATGTTATTTGTTCTTCATGATCTTTTCCTTGTACCTTTTATTCTTTTCCTCCCACAGGCCCCACATTATGAAAAAATGTATTTTCCTTGGATGTATTAGATTAATATTCCCATTCAGAATGGGAATGGTATATTAAAATGGCATTGAAAATGCGCCATAAAAATGACCAATCAGACCTTAAGATTAAAATGTGATAGTTGACAGGCTGGATTTTCAAGGATGCCATCAAAAGCTGCATTTAGATTTTGCTTTAGTCTGCATGACCTTTATACCTATAGCTTGTAAGTAAGTGTAAATAATGGCATTTATTATGCAATTTGAGACATTGGAGATAATTTACCTCCCCCAGTACTGCCTTGGCTGACTCCTTGGGGGGATCCCTTTGGAAGTCCATCTTTGACCTTGAGGATAAAGGGATCTCAAACTCTAACACCTACGGGCAAGACAAAATGAGCAGGCTGGTTGCGGTGGCTCACACCTGTAATCCCAGCACTTTGGGAAGCGGGAGGATCACTCGAGGTCAGGAGTTCGAGACCAGCCTGGCCAACATAGTGAAACCCCATCTCCTCTAAAAATACAAAAATTAGCTGGGCATGGTGGTGGGCGCCTGTAATCCCAGCTCATCAGGAGGCTGAAGCCAGGAATCGCTTGAACCTGGCAGGCGGAGGTTGCAGTGAGCTGAAATCGCGCCACTGCACTCCAGCGTGGGAGGCAGAGCAAGACTCCATCTCAAAAAAGAAAATAAAAAAAAGACAAAATGAGCAAAGCGGCCCATGTGCGATGCAGTTTGGGAACTGTGGGGACTGGAGGCAATGGGAGGGCCAGCCAGTTGCTGTTATGGTTCGATGCCCACTCAGGTGCCATATCGCCTCCTTTTTTTAAGTGATGCCAAAAATCTGGGTTTTTGTGGGAAATCTCCTTACTTTAATAATCTGAGTTAGCTGTCGTTATTTTAAATGCACTGACCCCAGGGTCTGCCAGTTTTCAACCTGTTTGAGATGAACACTTCTCCTAACCACGTTCTCCTCCTAGGATTGGTCATCGCTGTGGGTGGCCTCTCACTGCTCTGCATCCTCTGTGGTTTGGGCTTCGTGTCACTCATCATGTCAGGGATGATGATAGCATCCTATGTAGTGGTCTCCAGCCTCATCAACTACTGGTTTTCTCCCAGGTAAATAGATGTCCATGGAATAATTTATTTATTTTTTTTTTATTTTATTTATTTATTTATTTTTTGAGACGGAGTCTTGCTCTGTCGCCGGGGCTGGAGTGCAGTGGCCGGATCTCAGCTCACTGCAAGCTCCGCCTCCCGGGTTTACGCCATTCTCCTGCCTCAGCCTCCCGTGTAGCTGGGACTACAGGCGCCCACCACCTCGCCCGGCTAGTTTGTTGTATTTTTTTATAGAGACGGGGTTTCACCGTGTTAGCCAGGATGGTCTCGATCTCCTGACCTCGTGATCCGCCCGTCTCGGCCTCCCAAAGTGCTGGGATTACAGGCTTGAGCCACCGTGCCCGGCTGGAATAATTTATTTTTTTAATCTTTCTACTTTTTTTTTTTTTTTTTGAGACAAGGCTTCACTCTGTCACTCAGGCTGGAGTGCAGTGGCATGAACATAGCTCACTGCAACCTCAACCTCCCAGGCTCAAGCAGTTCTTCTGCCTCAGCCTCCCAAGTAGCTGGGGCTACAGGTGCATGCCATCATGCCCGGCTAATTTTAATATTTTTTGTAGAGACAGGGTCTTGCTATGTTGCCTAGGCTGTTCTCTAACTCCTGGGCTCAAGCAGTCCTCCTGCCTCTGCCTCCCAAAGTGCAGGGACCACAGGCATGAGCCACCACACTCTGCTGAGTAATTTAATCTGCCACTTGAGGGGATTTTCACAAATAAAACTGTAATCCTAGTTGATGTCCAGAAGGAAACTTGTAAGACCCAGGTGTTTCTCGTAGTTCCCCATGTATGCCAAGCATCAGGTGGGAATTTACCATGGAATTTTAAACAAAGCAATAGCTGTCATTTTCCATCAGGTATACACATTTCATTGTCATAGCAACTCTATCAGTATTATTGATTCCTTTTAAAAGATGTCCATTTAATTTACAAATGTCAAATTAGGTGGTTTTCTTTGGTGGGGTGGGGCGGAGAGGCACAGGAGAAAAATGACCCACCAGACATGTCTGTCGCCCAAAGCAGTACAGTATGGGAGCTGTGAATCTTCTGTCCCCAAAGTCTGTCGATCCCCTCTGCTCTTGAGAATGTGAGTTTCTCACCAACTGAGTGTGAGCCTCATGTTTGAATATATAGATTTTTGTTACTACAATATGGCTCTTCAATGCCAGCTACTTCATCTGGGGCCTCGAGTGAAACAACAGCGATCTACTTAAATGCTTGAGGGAAACACCAGCTATGTTGGCCTTACTGGGAGACTCTGTGTTTGTCTATAATGTGCCACCCACCTAAGGGATTTTCAAAGGAGATTTATTTTAATGCTTTCTTTTTGTCCTGTATGTTGATTTTAGAATCTAAGTCCCAAGTTCATCATACTTCATTTAAGCTCCTGCTAAGTTGATGATAGTGCTAGTGAGCACTTGCTGTGTGCCAGGGACTCTCTTAAACACTTTCCAGGCCTTATCTTATGTCATCCTTACAATTTAGCCCCTTTCTATTATAAGGAAAATTAAGCCAAGTCCCTTAAGCTGAGAGTAGCACAGAAGGGACTTAAATCCAGGTCAGTTAATTCCAAAGCCCTCTTAATCAGGATACAGAGTGACTTTCTAAAACAGGAGTTGGCAATTTCTGGGAAGGGCCAGATAGCAAGTGTTTAGTAAGTAATATAGTCTCTATTGCAGTTAGTCAACTCTGTTGCTATAGCATGAAGGCAGCACAGACCAGGAAGTAAATGAATGGGCATGGCTGTGTTCCAATAAAAGTTTATTTACAAAGACAGGCAGCTTGCTGGATTTGGCCAACCATTGTTCCATAAGAACTGATATCCTGAGTTTTGTTTTTCTGCAAAACAGCCCTTGAACTCCTTACCAAAAGGTCATCCTGTTATTATTCCTATGTTGAAAAATAAAGGGTGAAGTGGGTGTAATATAAAACTGCTTAAGGATGGCTCTCATAGGATTGCTTAATTGATATCCCTGGAGTCATGTTCACCTTTTCATAAACGCTTTGATTGCTCTTAGTCTTTTGTTCGTTCATTTGTATTTTACTTATAAAATGGGGTCTTGCTATGTTGCCCAGGCTGTTCTCAAACCCCTGGCTTCAAGCAATCCTTCCCCGCTGGCCTCTCAATGGACTGGGATTACAGGTGTGAGGCACTGACTCACTCCCAGTCTTAAAAGACGTGAAAGGAGAAATATTGGCCTATTTTGCATATTGAGGGTGATGTTTCTGAAATAAAATTCCTCCCTGCCTGTGAACCCTGCTATAATAGGGTAAGTTCTTAAAAATTATATCACAGGAAGTAGAAAAATCTGACTCCCTACTTATCAATGAAAAAATTGAAAAAGAAATCCAGGATTTGTACTTGATCTCCTTATCCTCCCCTATTGCTGCCAACCAATTGTCTCCACGTGGGCAGAGGTTCTTAAGCTTTTTGTTCTCAGGTCCCGTTTTACCTTCTTAAAAATTATTGAGGGCTCCGAAGAGATTTTATTTATGTAGTTAATTGCATTAATAGCACTTTGGGAGGCCAAGGAGGGAAGATCACTTGAGGCCAGGAGTTTAAGACCAACCTAGGCAACATGGCAAGATCACATCTCTACAAAAAAATACAAAACTTAGCCAGGTGTGGTGATGCGTGCCTGTAGTCCCAGCTACTCAGGAGGCTGAGATGGGAGGATCATTTGGGCCCAGGAGTTCAAGGCTGCAGTGAGCTGTGATCACACCACTGCACTCCAGCCTGGGCAACAAAGCAAGACCCTATCTCAAAAAACAAATGAAATGAGGTGAAATATAAAATAAAATAAATAAATAACATGACATAAAACTATATAAAATAAAATAAACATAACATAAATTACATTAAATCAAATTAAATATTAGCTGGGCATAGTGGTGCATGCCTGTGGTCCCAGCTACTCAAGAGGTTGAGGAGGGAGGATGGCCTGAGCCTGCGAAGTTGGGGGCGCAGTGAGCTATGATTGTACCACTGCACTCCAGCCTGGGTGACACAGCTAGACTCTGTCTGGAAAAAAAAAAAAAAAAAAGAGTATTAATAATTATTTCTTTTTTAAAAATTTTCTTCCTCAGTGTTCCTTGTTCTGAAATAATGATTCTATTAGAAATCATAACATAAGTTTTAAAAATATCTATTCATTTAAAAGGAGCAATATTACCTGTTGATATAAGTAACAAATTTTAATGAAAAGTAACTATATTTTCCAAAAGAAAATGAAAGTTGTGAGTGGTATGGTTTTACATTTTACAAATCTCTTTCATAGCTGCCTTAACAGTTGTCGGCTGGCTTCTCGTTTGTGTGGCTGCATTCGTTCTGTTGTTCTATGTTGTTCTGTTTGAAGTATCTGAAGAAGACTCAGCATCACTCAATGTGTGGTTGGGAAAGAGAGGCAAAGCTTTTTTAAACGATTGCGGATATTCTATGATAGTACACCAAAACTCCGTAAGTGGTAGTTTTTTAAAGGTTAGATGAAATGTGAAATTTTTATACTCTTATTTTATCGAAATCTGCAGGTCTATCTCACACTTCAAATTGATCTTTATCATGCGTGATTTTGTAACTTTACCCATTGGTCATTGGGAGAATATTGGTTCATTGAATCATGCAGATCTTCCAAATATACTTTGAAAAATTGCACTGTTCCCTCGTGAGAGAATGTGAGTGAAAAAGGCATGTAATTAGGTCATGTTATTGTGAACATGGTTTTCATCTGAGAACCCTTGCATTAGCGAATTCTTTTTTTTTTTTTTTGAGATGAGTCTCACTCTCACCCAGGCTGGAGTGCAGTGGCTTGATCTTGGCTCACTGCAACCTCTCCCTTCTGGGTTCAAGCAATTCTTCTGCCTCAGCCTCCCAAGTAGCTGGGATTATAGGTGTGCACCACCATGCATGGCTAATTTTTGTATTGTTAGTAGAGGTGGGGTTTCACCATGTTCGTCAGGCTGATCTCGAACTCCTGAGCTCAAGTGATCTACCCGCCTCAGCCTCCCAAGGTGCTGGGATTATAGGTGTGAGCCACTGTGCCCAGCCTGCATTAGTGAATTCTTTATAACTCAAAAAAAAGATAACTCCCTCATTAAATGATTGAAAGCATGGAGTGGGGGAAAGAGGAGCTATACAATTTATTTCATGATTTAATGGAATTTTGGCCCTAAAACATGAAAGATAATATATAGCTTAAATTTTTTAAAAAGAAAAGAAAAAGGAAACAAAAGTTTCCCTTACATATGAAAATCAACTAAACAATATGTAGATCAAATACACTGACCTGCGTCCTGTGTAGATCAGCTAGCCTCTGAGGGGCAAAACCACACTGCTTTGTTATGGAGACAGCGAGATCTCCCAGGGCCTGCAGCTCGGGAGAAGAAGGGGCCCTGGGCGGCTGTGTTTATTTGTAGAGCCACCAAACTCACTGCCCCATATCATAATCTTCCAAACCAACCTGAGCATAACTAGCTTTCTTATATCTTCACTAAGAAAAGGAAAAGCTTCTTAGTTTTTTGTTATGAGGGAGGAATGGTTTAGGTGGCAAATAACGAGAAAAACCAAAGTAGATACTAGTTTAAACACACAGGGAACTTTTTTTTTTATTGCTTAATGAAAAACTGGAGACAGCCCAGGGCTGGTGCAGCTGCTGTGTGGTATCAACATACCAGGCACCTTTTGCCTTCCTTAGCTCATTGGTTTCCTACCTCATGGCCACAAGATAGCTACTGCAGCTCCAGGTACACCAGCTACCTTCAAGGCAGGATAAAAGGAGAAAAAAAAATGAGTCTGACCCTTTTTACAATGTGAGTAAAAGATTTCTCAGGACCTCTCATCACTATACTTTCAAAAGACTTCATTGACTAGAACTTTGTCAGATGGCCACTTGTGTTAGTCTGTTTTTGCATTGCTCTAAAGAAATATCTGAGATGGGGTAATTTACAAGGAAAAGAGGTTTATTTTGGCTCATGGTTCTGCAGGCCATACAGGGGAACATGGTGCTGACATTTGCTTCTGGTGAGGGCTCGGGAGGCTTCCTATCATGGTGGAAGGTGAAGGGGAGACAGTGTCACATGGCGAGAGCAGGACCAAGAGAGAGAGGAAGGAGGTGCCACACTCTTAAACAACCGGATCTTGCATGAACTCAGGGCAAGAACTCAGTCATTCCCCAAGGATGGCACCAAGCTATTCATGAGGGATCCACCCTCAAGACCCAAATACTCCCTACCAGGCCCCACCTCTAACACTGGTGATCACATTTCAACTTGAGATTTAGAGGGGACAAACATCCAAAGCATATCCCCACTCTAAGCTGGGAATGTTCAGCTGTGTCATCTTCTGTAGCATAAACTTATAAGGAGAAGGGTTTGGGAAATATCTCCTGGTCGGCCAAGCTCTGGTGTGTGCTGTGGTTTCCCACAGTGGGGTGTCAATGATGGCAAGGCTTTTTGAAATTCAAAGATAAACCATGGATCCAACTGAGTTAATATCAATAGCACTACTTCCTCTCTCACAGCGTTTTGACAGTCACAAGGACTGAAGAAGACTGGTTTCTCTTCCTTTCCCCCCAATATGGTTTGGTTATGTCCCCACCCAAATTTCATCTTGAATTGTAGCTCCTGTAATCCCTGCATGTCATGGGAAGGACCTGGTAGGAGGTAATTGAATCATGGGGTGAGTTTTTCCCATGGTTGCTATTCTCGTGCTAGTGAATAAGGCTCACGAAATGTGATGGTTTTATAAAGGGCATGTCCCTTGCACATGCTGTCTTGCCTGCCACCATCTAAGAAGTGCCCCTGATCTTCCTTTGCCTTCCACCATGATTGTGAGGCCTCCCCAGCCATGTGGAATTGTGAGTCCATGAAACCTCTTTTTCTTTATAAATTACCCAGTCTCAGGTCTTTATTAGCAACGTGAGAATTGACTAATACAATCCTGCCCCCGAACTCCTTTCCATGGAAGATGTCAGGAAACTAATTGAAATCAGAAGATATGGTCTGAATTCCCACCCTGGCATGTTTTTTAGCTGTGTGGTCTTGGAACAGGCTGCTTGACTTCTCTGATTTCAGTTTTTGTCCATTGGTTAAATAGACAAAATAGCTACTCTTAATCTACCATTCTCACTGGGTTGTTGTGAGGACACAGATAATTAAGAAAAACATAATAAATATCCAAATTAGAAGATGGAAAAGGGGCTGTAACCCTACTCCTAACCTGGTCATTTTAACTTCCTGTGCCCTCAGTTTCTTCATCTGTATAATGGGCATAGGCCTGGTGTGGTTGCAAGAAGCAGCTAAAAATAAATCAGGAAAAAGAACATCATGTATTCAGCTATGCACACTTCCAACGTTTCTCTTTACCGAGGACCTAGAGCTAACCATCTCTTCTTATTATCCGACAGACCACTGACACAGCAAAACACCAATGGTGACTTTCTGCCAGCCATGAAGTCTGCAGACTTCGAGGGGCTTTACCAGGAATGAGTGGCTGCTCAGAGGCTGGGCTTCTTTTCAAGTACTGCTGGATCATACTCACCCCTTGGGATTATGGCTCAGAAGAAGGGGGCTGGGTAGCAAGCACTCCTTGGCTGTGTCCTCTCGCTTTTTCACTTATTTGTAGGATCCTGCAGCAGCCAATTTAGGGATTGTGTTATTCTTGTGTTGGTTCCCATGTAAAGAAGCAGCAGAGAAATGCGATGGTTCAACAGCTCACCCTGCCCCAAATATGCAGACTTGACCTTGGCAGGGTCCTGGGCTTCTAGACTCTAGCCCATTGACCCCAAAGCCTCAGGGCTTATGTCGAACGGTCCCATTGGGAGCAACAGTGGTTGTTTATAGTTTTTTGTTTTCAGAAATGAGGGCAGCTGTTAATTTTTTCACTCACGTGAAACAACATGAAAAAAAAAAAAATCCAAAACAGAGCAAGCCCTTCTGTGGTATTTGCTTTTTATCAGAAAGAACAGCAACATTTGGCCTCTACAAATTGGAAAATAGAGTCCAAATGTAACTTTGTGGCCAAGAGTATTTTCAAAAAAGTCTAAAGGTGTAGTTTCCACTGTTACTGTTGAGTACTGTTAAGTGCTGTTAATCTTTTACATATTTGCACTTGGTACTTTTGTATTGTTTTAAAGAGCTTGTCCTGTTAAGTCATTTCTTTCTTTTTTTGTTTTTGTTTTTTTTTTTGAGACGGAGTTTCCCTCTTGTTGCCCAGGGTGCAGTGCAATGGTGTAGTCTCGGCTCACTGCAACCTCCGACTCCCAGGTTCAAGCAAGTCTCCTGCCTCAGCCTCCCAAGTGGCACCAGCCACTGTGCCCGGCTAGTTTTTTGTGTGTGTGGTTTTTTTTTTTTAGTACAGATGGGGTTTCACCATGTTGGTCAGGCTGGTCTCGAACTCCTGACTTCAGGTGATCCACCCACCTTGGCCTCCCAAAGTGCTGGGATTACAGGCGTGAGCCACCATGCCCAATCTAAGCCAATGCTAAAGGACTAGAAAGTAAAAATAAAATTTCCTATTGGATTTCCTAGTGGAATTATCGAGTGGTTTATTTGCTGTGGCATTTCATTCAATATTTATTTGGGTGGGCATTTTTCCTTTACTCTTTTTCCCTTCTGCTCCATACATCAGACCTGCCTATTCCTCTGTCAATTTCATGACTGGTACTGGGTAATAGGGATTTTTTAAGTTGCTTGTGATAGACACCCAATTCCATGTTACTTTAAAAAGAGGGGTGGTGGGGAGAAGGATTAGTTTCACTCAACCAAAAAGCCAAGGGGTAGATCTTGAGGTGCTGCCAATTCCAGGGGCTCAGGTGGTGTCATTAGGCATCTCTCACCTCTTATCTCTCAGTACAGCTTTCCTCATTGTAAGCTGCTTTTGCAGGCAGTCCTGCTCCTTGTGGAGGTCTTAGGAGCTCCATCCTGTGCAAGAAAACTGCTTTTTCTCAACAGTATATACAAATATTCTGGGTTTGGCTCTGATTGGACAGACTTGGGTCATGTGAGTGACCCCAGACCAGTCACAGTGGCTAGGAGGATGGGATATGCAGATGGGACAGGGCTAGGATGGTCTCCATTCAAGAAACAGGGGAGGCAATAGATCAGCCCACTATTAATATAACTATCAATATTAAAATTTACTGTTTATTGGATGTTTCCTTTATTCATGCAAGTGTCTGATATTATCTCTCTATGCTGTCTACCCAGGTGAGTTCTGCAGCTTTAATAATGAAGAATGCAAGGGTCCCTGTTCTCCCTCCTGAAGTTTTCTTTCTAATGCAAGAGTGAGTGAGCAAGCATATTAGTTATCTGTTACTATGTAACAGTTTACCACCAACTATTGGCTTAAAAGAACACGCATTTCTTATCTCACATTCTTCATGTGTTAGGGTTCCAGGTATGGCTTGGCTAGATCTTTTATAAGCCTGTGATCACGGTGTCATCAGGGCTGTGTTCTCATTTGGCATCCAACTGGGGAAGGACCACATTCCAAGCTCGCATGGTTGTTGGCAGCATCCATCTGGCAACAGGACTTAAGCCCTCAGTTCCTTGATGCACATTCCTCTCCCCATGACAGCTCAGTGTGGCCAACGGCTTCTTCAGAGCCATCAAGGGAGAGCCTCTCAGCAAGATAGACATTACATTCTTAGGGAACGTAATTATGCATGCACAATCACGAATATTGGATCACTTTATCCATGTTCTACTGGTTAGAAACGAGTCCCGGGAACCACCACCCACTCTCATGAGGAGGGGATCACCCAAGGGCAGGTAAACCACAGAGGGGACCATGGGCCCTGCCTTCAGGGTTCTTACTAGGGTCCTTAGTAGTCCACCTTGCTACAACAAGTAAACAAAATATAAGACCAAGGGCACTGAAGAGAAGTAAAAGGGTGATAAGTAATTGGGAGAGCATGCTAAAGCATGCCACAGCAATCAAAGATTTCTTCTGTTTGAACCAAAGCATGAGTTGTCACCATGCCAAGCACACAGGGAGGGTGTTCCTGGCAGAAGGCACAGTATCCCAAAGGCCTAGAGATGGGAAGAAGCTTAATGTGTTTAAGAAAAAGAATGATGTCAGCATGGCTTGGCCTCATCATGCAGGACCTCATGGAGTGAGTTTACACCAGGGGTCCCCAACCAGTACCCGTCCTTGGCCTGTTAGGAACCAGCCGTACAGCAGGAGGTGAGCAGCAGGGAGTGAGCATTGCTGCCTGAGCTTCACCTGTCAGATCAGCAGCAACATTAGATTCTCATAGGAGCATGAACCCTCGTGTGAACTGTACATGCAAGGGATCTAGGTTGCACGATCCTTATGGGAATCTAATGCCTGATGATCTGTCACTGTCTCCCATCATCCGCAGTTGGGCCTGTCTAGTTGCAGGAAAACAAGCTCAGGGCTCCCACTGATTCTACATTATGGTAAGTTGTGTGATTATTTCATTATGTATTACGAAGTAATCATAATAGAAATAAAGTGCACAATAAATGGAATGAACTTGAATCATCCTGAAACCACCCCCACCCCCAACCCGCTGCCCCGTCCATGGAAAAATTGACTTCCACAAAACTTGTCCCTGGTGCCAAAAAGGTTGGGGACCACTGGTTTATGCCCGAGGGCAAAGGAAAGACAATGAAGAATCTTACGTGGGAGAGTGACATGATCAGACTTGGGTTTTTTAAAGATCATTCTGTGGCCAATGGATTTGAATCAGGAAGGCCAGTTGGGAGGTCTATGGATGCCCAAGAGCAGAGAGGATAATTGTGACTTAAAACTTACACTAGGCTGAGTGCGGTGGGTCATGCCTGTAATCTCAGCCCTTTGGGAGGCCGAGGAGGGCGAACCACTTGAGGTCAGGAGTTCGAGACCAACCTGGCCAACATGGTGAAACCCCATCTCTACTAAAAATACAAAGATTAGCTGGGTGTGATGGCAGGCACCTGTAATTCCAGCTACTCAGGAGGCTGAGGCAGGTGAATCATTTGAACCTGGCAGATGGAGATTGCAGTGATCCGAGATCCAGCCTGGGCAACAGAGCGAGACTCTGTCTCAAAAAACAAAACAAAAAAAACTTACACTGGGGCAAAGGTAATGGAGACCTTCCTCATTTAGAGGGCGAGCATCATTTGGTGATGTTGGAGAAGGAAAGGGGGACACAAGGTTGGCACCTAGGTTTTTAGCTTGAGCCAGTAGTGGATAGTGACACTATTGTAGGAGTGAAGGACAAGTTTTCTCTCTACCCTCTGAAGCATCCCTGAAATGAACTGGCAATAGACAGATGAATAAAAGAAAAGGCATATACAAATTTATTAATGTGCTCATGAACACAAGAATTCCAAAAATAGACTCAAACAAAGGCCAAATGATTGAAACTTACATAGAGGGAGATGGGGGAAATGTAGACAACTTGAAGGATTGTAAATGATTTTTAGGGGAATTGAATGGACCCAAAGAGCAAACCACAATGAGATACCATCTGACACTAGTCAGAATGGCTATTCTAAAAAGTCAAAAAATAATAGATGCTGGCGAGTTTGTGGAGAAAAGGGAATGCTTACACATTGCTGGTGGGAAAGTAAATTAGTTCAGTCACTGGAAAGCAATTTGGTGACATCTCAAAGAACTTAAAACAGAACTATCATTCAGTCCAGCAATCCCATTATTGGATATATACCCAAGGCAATATAAATTGTTCTCCCATAAAGACACATGCACATGTATGTTCATCACAGCACTATTCACAATAGCAAAAACAGAATCAAATGTCCATCAGTGGTGGATAAAGAAAATGTGGTGCCATATACATCATAGAATACTACACAGTTAATAAAAAAGAATGAGATTGTATCCTTTGCAGCAACATGGATGCAGCTAGAAGCCATTATCCTAAGTGAACTAATACAGGAACAGAAAACCCAACACCGTATGTCCTCACATATAAGTGGGAGCTAAACACTGGGTACATATGGAAATAAAGATGGGACCAACAGATATTGGGGCCTACATGGAGGTGGAGGGTGGGAGGAGGGTGAAGATTAAAAAACTATCAGGTACTATGCTTATTACCTGAGTGATAAAATAATCTGTACACCAAATGTGACATGCAATTTACCCAGGTAACAAACCTCCACATGTACTCCTGGAACTAAAATGAAAGAAAGAAAAAAAAAGCAGACAATAGTTTGTAAATTATTTTCTTTAGAAACTGAATGGGACAAGTTATGGGAAAGTGAGGGGCAGAACTGAACTGCAAACAAAGGTAGCCTTATTATGCAGATTAAGTCTTTTAGGTAATCTCTCAGAATTGCCCTCAGCAAAATAGATGAAAAGCATGAGCATGGTGACAACTTTTAGTCTCTTCTGTGGTGGTTAATTTTTTCTGGTTATTTTGGATGCTAATCCACCATGTTGACTTCTGATTAACCCCAGTCCCATGAATGCCTCCTGATTCCTGCTTTACTGTTCCTACTGTAAGAACATGTTGACCTTGATGTTATCACACAAATTTTAGGCTATGATGCATACAGCATTCTTGCCTGTCCTGAAGGGTTGCCTTTAATTGGCTTGCTGGAGCAAGCATACCCTTTCCCTATAGTATATGCATAGCCCTGGTGTGGGGAGTAACACTGCAGAGATCTACCCGTACTGCCAACACCTAAGACCACACTTACATCTGTAAGTTTCTTCAATAAATCACCCAAAGTCAACAAACTGGATCTGTCTGCCTCCTTCTTTGGTTCCTTGGCTTCCTCAGCATTTGGGAATCACTTTGCATATTCACAGAAATTAAGACAATTGCATTTCTTTTGGAAGAAATTTTCCTCGGTCAGATAAGGGAACTTCCAGAGAGAGCCTGATATGGTTAGGCTGTGTCCCCACTCAAATCTCATCTTGAATTATAGTTCCCATAATCACCACGTGTTGTGGGTGGGACCAGGTGGACACAATTGAATCATGGGGTTGGTTTCCCGCATCCTGTTCTCCTGATAGTTAGTTCTCATGAGATTTGATGGTTTTTATAAGGGACTTCCCCCTTCACTGGACACTCATTCTCCTGCCACCCTATGGAGAGGTACCTTCTGCCTTGATTGCAAGTTTCCTGAGGCCTCCCCAGCCATGTGGAACTGTAAGTCAGTTAAACCTCTTCCTTTCTCAATTACCCAGTCTCAGATATTTCTTCACAGCAGCCTGAGAACAGAGCACCGCCCTGCACTCAAGAGGGCAGAAACAAGAGAAGATTAGAACATCCTTGGTTCTGAAGCAGTTTCTAAGGCCTTTCATTTCCGTTAACGCAGAAGTGCTCTGCATGCCAAAGTAACAGACTTTGGGGTATCCTTCTCTGTGCCTCAATGGGGGCTGTGTGAAAATTCAACCCCTGCTTTGCTCATATTAAGTCAGATATGCCTCTTGGATAGTAAGAGGATGTGTCAAGTAGACAGCTGGCTTAGAGGGTAGGTTTGGGCTGGGGAGTATTTTTAGTGCTGAGAGCTTTACACAGCCTTCTTGTGGGATGCTTTCCAGAGAGTAGCCAGG